AGACCAGTGTGATCCCTATTGCTCGTCTCTAGAATATGCTCACCATCATGGTGTTGGGTGTCACCAACAAGGAATACAAGGGTTGAAGTCAGCTCAAGCCTATTACTGTCTTTGAAATTCCTTTGTTAGTTGTTGAGTTTTTGTGCTCTGTATTGGGCTGAGCAGCGTACCCACTCCCCCTGTGCTCGTCTAGCTGACTCAGGGAAATGTTCACTTTTTTTAATGAACTCGGGGAGAAACATTTAAACCACTAGTTGATTCACTCAACTGTAATATAGTCAGATGACCTGCTCCACTGACATAGCTGTTTATCGAAAACAAAGGCCACCCTCTGGTCCCCTTTGTACTGACATAGGGTCAGCTTCTTTGCAACAGCTGTACTCAGTCACACCCTGAATTATTCTGAGCTTCATGGACACGTGTTGCCCTTGCTCATCTCCAGAGCTGCCTTGCATTTTGGAGGATTTATAGGTCCATCACTGTAATGGAATGATCACAAAATACTGCTGTGGGTGAATTTGCAGAAAAACTTGGATTCATTGAAGACAACAGACTCTGCTTAGTCTAGACAGTTTCCTTCTTTGGGTATGATGAATCTTTTTATCAGTATTTTTAGTTTGCTTTTTACTGTACAGTATGCATGGCATGAAGAGGTAGGAAGATACCACATAGTGTGTCCAGGCTTCAGGTTGGCAAAAATGCATACTTAAGTATTTTATGTATAAACCGCTTTCAATTCCACTTGTAATGCGTTTCTGAGCACAAAGGCATTTATTAAATTGAAGAGGAGAAACAGACTGAAAGTTCAAATTACTCAATGTAATTCAGTTTTTGTAATTGGATATACAGGGTACACAGTGAAAACTAATGTGTGACTCACTGTTGCGGTGTGACGACAGTCATTCTGTGTATCCAGCTATGTTGTTCTGAAGAGCTTCGCTGCTCTGGTATTGCTGTTTACTACTTATTTTCATGTTGAGCAGAAGGGTAGATAGCAAGCAAATTATTTAATTATTTCAATGTTAGGATTTTTTCAATATTTGTCTTAAATGATATACTGGCCAAAATTGTTTTTGTGACTTTCATTTGTTACGGGAGTGGTTGTGTTTCTCCTGGGTTTCTCCTCTCAACATGGTGGCCAGTTTCAACCACACCTAACAAAGACACAGAGTTCTCACAATTCTTATCACAGTCGGTAGCTGGGTTGAAAAATAAAACCTATATGAGTGTGCACCACCACTGTACCCTTCAGGTACAGTCCTTTAAGGTAGAAGGACTATCACGTAGTTACCAGGCTCAATCTATTCCATTTACCCTGCTGTTAAGTGAATGAGCATGTGCAGTGTTCGGACAGCACAGAAAGAAGTGCCTGGTACTCAGAATGGGTGGGCAGATGCAAACAAAACTCGTAGTAGCTCAGGAAACAGGGAGCAAACTGGAGCTGTTAAGGGCCGAAAGGTAAGGCTTGAGATTGTGCATTAAGAAATAAGGGGAAGTTGCTAGGGCCTGTCTGGGTGTGTATGTGTTGTATTAGACTAATTATTAGGAAATGGGGCTTTAACCTTGTTGCTTATAGAGGAATTAGTTCACTTGTTTATCTGAGGCTGCTCAGGCAGCTCCATAGGCTTCTATGATATGCATAGTTTCTTTTAAATAGCACCATCCAAATCCCTCCAAACAAAACCCCCCAAACTTCAGCTTTTAGTTTTCCTTGGTCAAAAACAATTCTCCTCCAGTTCTCCCCCTTATTGCCCCCCTGTTAGTGTGGGGAAGGGGAGCAATTGAAGTATATGTGAGACAAGGATTAAATATATAACCTTTAAGTTAAGATTGGCTTTCTATGATACAATTATAGGCCATATAGTATGATGAAATTGTGCAAAATGTCATTTTTTTCTTATAAATGCAGTGGTTAAAAAAGTACCCATTTTTAAAGGGTAGTTTTTTCAGCATAGAAAAAAGATTACATTGGGACAAGAGAACCATTTTGAACACGTGGAGAGTATGAAACTGGTTTTGGAGATGTGATACCTCTGTCCTCTACTGTCACTACATAAATGAAAATTATGACGCATCAGTTAGAGCTTTATTTCCTTGCTTTTCAGTTCAGTAAAAGAAAATACTATAGGAAAGAGACATTGGGGAGCTGAGCACTTGGAAATATTCCACATGAGACAATCTGAAGGATAATTGAGATAGGAAAGGACATTACAGCAGTGACACTCGCAAGCCAAAGATGAGGTATTTTTTTTTCTGCTTTGTATGGTCTGTTAGTATAATACCAGATAAAATCTAAGTGTGGTTAAGTGTGTTTTTAGTGGAGAAAACATTAATTTATACATGTGGGCTAGGAGTATAATGTTAAAGTGAAATGTAGCATCTTCTGTCCTGTGAATGAGACAGTCCATCAGGGTTTTTTTTTTTTAAACGAAACATGAAAGGGTAGAATGTGGATGGCTATTATGAAGTGCAGAAGTACAGCTCAGCATAGGTTAGATGGAAACTGTTAATAACCCCAAAATACCTAGAAGCTATAGTGTTTGGCTGAAAGTTGAGATGTGGCTCCCTTTCACTTGCCCTCCTTTCTGTATTGCATTCCTACCATGATACTTTGAATTTACTGGGTTTTTTGAGGATATTTTGTTACTCGAATATTGGAGTTTGTTGCGTAAAGTGAATTTCATAAATAATAGCAAATTTGGACACAGTCGTGTTATAACCATACACCTATGAAAACTGATTTATAATCGTTTTCACGCTAGAGGGCACTAACATCTCATAAAATTTAAGCCCAAACACATTTTTTTTCTCTCTGTAACATTTAGGTAGTCTTACTGTTTTTGTAGTGGATGCCAAAGGTTTCCATTTTTTTACAGCTTTTTCTCTCTAGAAATGAAAACTAAAAGTATTCTTGCAAGGATGCATTAAAAGTTAGTATGTGGAGTTTTTCTTAGTGTGGTGTGGGTTGTTGTTTGGGTTTTTTTTTTTTTTTTTTACTAAACAGTAATTTAGGTAGTTTGTGGAAAAAAGTGTAGATTCCATTTGTGCTTTTAGATTGCTTTTAATGTGGTAATTTTCACTTGAACCTGGTGAATAGGCATGTAAGACAGGAAATTATTGGGTAAGTTCTTACAAAAGTTATCTAGTAGAGTTAACATCTGGAATATACTTTTTTAAAGTTGGCAATCAAAGGAAAAGGATCATACTTGAACTGATGTTGCAGACCTAACTTTAAGTGAGGTTAATGCATATATTTACATATTGATACCTGGTTTATAGAAAGTATAATGGAAAAGGATCTGAAGGTCTATACTGCCAGTAAGTAATGGATTGCAGTGGAACCTTCAGTTGTTTGTGTCGTTACACCACTTAGACACACACAGGTCTTTGGGATCAGATGGGATCCACCCAAGGCTACTGAGGGAGCTGTTGGAAGTGCTCACCAAGCCACTTCCCATGATTTATCAGCAGTCCTGGCTAACCAGATAGGTCCCAGCTGACTGGAAGTTAGCAAATGTGATGCCCATGTAGAGGAAGGGCTGGAAAGAGGCTCTGGGGACCTAGAGACCTGTCAGCCTGACCTGGGTGCCAGGGACGGTTATGGAGCAGATCATGAGTGCTATCGCACAGCATGTAGCAGACAACCAGGTGATCAGGCCCGGTCAGCATGGGTTTGTGAAGGGCAGATCCTTCTTGACTGACCTGGTCTCCTTCTCTGACAGGGTGACCCACTTAATGGATGAGGGAGAGGCTGTGTGTGTTGTCTACCTAAACTTTAGTAAAGCCTTTGACAGCGTTTCCCACAGCATTCTCCTGGAGAAACTGGCTGGTCATGGCTTGGATAGGAGCACACTTCACTTGGTAAAAAAATGACCAGATGGCCAGGTCCAAAGGGTGGTGGTGAATGGAGTTAAACTCAGGTGGTGACTGGTCACAGGTGTTTCCCAGGGCACAGTGTTTGGGCCAGTTCTGTTTAAGACCTTTATCAATGATCTGGACGAGGGGATCAAGTGCACCCTCAGTAAGTTTGCAAATGGATCGATGGGCTGAGATCAACTGTATGAGATTCAACAAGGCTCAGTGCCGGGTTCTGCACTTGGATCACAACAACCCCCTGCAACCCTACAGGCTTGGGGAAGACAGGCTGGAAAGCTGCCTGGCAGAAAAGGACCTGGGATAGTTGGTTGAAAGCCATCTGAATATGTGCTGACAGTGTGCCCAGGTGGCCAAGAGACCAACAGCATCCTGGCTTGTATCAGAAATAGTGTGGCCAGCAGGACTAGGGAAGCAATTGTTCCCCTGTACTTGGCATTGATGAGTCTGCACCTCCAGTATTGTGTTCAGTTTTGGGCCTTTCACTGGAAAAAGGCATTGAGGTGCTGGAGTGTGTCCAAAGAAGGGCAGGGAAGCTGGTGAAGGGTTTAGAGCACAAGATTTATGAGGAGCAGCTGAGGGAACTGGGGTTGTTTAGCCTGGAGAGAAAAGGAGGCTTGGGGAAGACCTCATCACTCTCTACAGCTACCTGAAAGGAGGCTGTAATGAGGTGGGTGTCGGTCTCTTCTCCCAAGTAACAAGCCATAGAACAAGAGTAAGTTGCCTCAAGTTGCGCAAGGGGAGGTTTAGGTTGGATATTAGGAAAAATTTCTTCACTGAAACCTTTACCAAGCACTGGAACAGGCTGTCCGGGGAAGTGCTTGAGTCACCATCCCTGGAGGTATTTAAAAGATGTGTAGATGTGGTGCTTAGGGACATGGTTTACTGGTGGAGTTGGCAGTGCGAAGTTAATGTTGGGACCTTATGATCTTAAAGGTCTTTTCTGACCTAAACGATTCTATTACTTTTAAGTAGGTAATTTTAGAATATGTGTTTGAATCTAAAGTTTGGACCTGTAAGTAGTGGAGCCATTTTGGAAGTACTTTATTTTTGTTATGGATTTTAAATACTAAATCTTGTTTAAAATATGTGAATAAAATGGTTTCTGATTATTTTTCCCCCTTTGTAGGAATGGTTATTCAGTTGCCTTTGAGATGATCCTGCTGCTGTAAATGTAGGGCTGAAGATAAATGGTGTGGGCAGTATGGACCTAATGAACGGACAGTCAAGCAATGTTAATATTGCGGCTACTGCTTCAGAGGTAAGGATTACAAAACTCTATTATTGGATACTTAAGACTATTAGTACTCAATTTTTTTTAAAATGCACCAAAATTTAGGTTTTTCTTTTAACAGGTCTAGTGCATCAGATTCTTGGTTTGTGTGTTGGTTTCATATGTCCCGGTTTAGATGTGAAAAACTTAAAGCTCTGACCTTTGTATACCAAAATGAAGCATGAGCTAGCATTTACAGCCTTGTCATAGCCAAAGCTGCCTTTCCTGTGTTCTCTTCCATCACATCTAGACAAAGCAGCTTTTCTTTTCAAGTTTTAACAGTAGTAGATGCTTAGTGCAATAAGCTGGGCTGGCAAGGCCTGGGGGAAATGTTCTCTTCTTTGACAGGTACTTGCGTGCATGTGTGTGTGTGTCGGGGGGCAGTCTGACACAGTAGCACTGGAATAAGGTTGTTCCCCTTGTTTCCTGGACTATGTTCAGGCGTTGGTATGAGTCCCCTCCTGCCCAGCAAAGTTCTGCCCCTAGAAGTAAACAGCTCAGGAATTATGAGTGTGTATCAGGCAAGCAATGGAGATTGGCCTCTTATGCTGATGCTGCTTATTTTGAAGTTAAAATAGTTTTCCATTTGTCAAGGGAAAGAAGGGCAGGTGTGAAGTTGGTACCAGAACTTTTAAAGTTGTTTTTGCTAGGATCATGTGAGGAGCTATTGAGAGTTTTGACTGGGTCCTAAATTCTTAGCAATATTGGAGGGTTTGCAACATGTCCTTGTTTCGGCTGCGATAATTTTTTTCTTAGTAGCTAGAATAGCACTGTTGGGGTTTTTGTTTTGGTTTGTTTCTTTTTTCCAGAACTGTTATAAATCACTCCTTAAGTTTTTGTTGGCTTTTTTTGTTAGTGCCTTGTACTGCTGGGATGAAGGGAACTGAAAATCTGCCCTTGGTGTATATTGAGTGATCTTTCCAGATGGCCTGTTTGTCTGTCTTCTTTAGGGTGACTGTATATAAACTTTGGCTTGTACAGATGTACAGTGCTAACTGAAGTTTTCTGCTCAGGGTAGATTGTAACTTTATTGCTCATGTATATTATTTTTATTGCTTTTTCCACAGTTTGAAAATGTTTTTACTGTGGTAGATTTCAGTTTGCAATTTTTTTTTCTTTCATTCTTCATTTGTCTTTAGTTTAAAAGGCAAGTTGTTCAAGAACCCTACAAAGTCAGTAGTGATGAGAGCCACAAAGTACTGAAAACAGTTGCTTCCTTGAATGGATCTTTGGACCTTATCAAAGTTGTTTGTTTTATTTATATATTTACACATATTTTGATAGCAGAGCTGCATGTGTGCTGTGCACTTGGGTATGGAAATGGAAAGTACCACAAACAAGGTGAAAGGAAACTTGGAATGTTGTGTTATCAAAACAAATCAAATAATCTCTAGCACAATTTCACAAATAAAAAGAAAGCTGGCACTGGTCTCCAAGACCATTGTTTGTTTTTATACAGATTCTTGTACTTCCCTTATCATTGTATTATGCATCACTGACCATTTGTTGGCATGCAACGAAGAAGCTTTCTTAGAGGAAAGCTCTCTTTTTACTCATTAAGATAGTCTTGAATATTTACATGATGTCTGATAAAATTGAGTAAAATATATTTTGGCAAAGTTACATGAATCTGCTTTCAGCAAGGGGGGGTGTGGTGGTTTTTTTTCCTATCTTGACTAATGGGGAGGAGGAAGGACTTGTAACTGTTTCTGTGGGTGGGAAGCCAAAGTCAAAATATATAGTGTTGCACTAAAATACTGCCTTGTTAGGTTTTCAGAAGACATTAGAACAGTAGAACTATTTACCAGGATCAGTGACTCTGTGCTATCTTCCCTCCTGCCTTGGCATCAGCAGACATGATGCAGGTGTTACTGAAAGTACAGCGTAACAGTGCTGAAATTTGGCTTCCACCAGAAGTGATCTAAGTGCTTATTCATGTGCATGTTCTGTATCTGACACATATCCATGGTCTTAAACTTCCAACATGAGCAGTGAAATTAGAAGGACTCTCAGAAAGTGCCTTCATTGTGTGAGCCCAAGTCTAATCCCTTCAGGTTTCCAGGAGGTATCCCCCTGTGGTGGTGGTTAGAATAGAGTGCTTAAGGATAAATCAGTCTCCCACATAAGACAGATGGGTCTTGGTTGTGCTCAGTGTGTTTTGCCACAGTTGAGCTGAAGCTCCCAGCAATGGCGAGAATGAGCTCGGTGCACCAATACTAGTTTTCTTTCTCTCAAATGTCTCCAAACAAGGGATTAGCAAAACTGTTGTGGGAGCTCTGTTAGCACTTCAAGGCTCTCCTATTGCTGGACCATGTAGGTGCTGTACTGTACTTGAGGCAAGCATGGTGTTTGCTGCAGAAGAGTTAAATTTGATACAGTTATCAACTGTAGTAACTGTGGTCCTTCATGATGGTTTTGTCCATGTGTCTCATCCTATTTCTTCCTTTTTAGTCGAGGGTTTGCTTTATGCCAGGCTTCTGAAAGTGAGGAGAAACTAAGAAGCAAGAAATGTGCATAGTCTTTCGGGTCTTCAGAGGAGACTATGGGGCAGCAAAGTGATTGCATGCTGTATGCATATTTCTGAAGCAAGAATGCCTGGGGTTCAGATGTGACGTGTATACCTGAATGTGACATCTCACATTGCGAAAAAAACCTTCTTTCATATAGTGACTGAATAGAGTCTAGGTTTGCATCTATATACGGGAGGAAGTGATTACTCGTAACATAGATGTATTGATTTCGTGTGAAACATACAAAACCAGTGTATGAAACCAATAAGTGTTAAGTTTTTGAACCATGTTTGTGTTTTGTGGGGAAGCTAAATCTTTATGTTGTAGATAAAGATTCATAGAATAATATTCTAGGATCTAGTATTTTTTGCAAATGGGAATTATTAGCATGTAAAAAAAACCCTAAAGTGAAATTATTTACACCAAGTACCTTCAACTGGAACACATCTGTGGCTCACAGTGTAATTTTTAGTTATACAGTTTTAATGCTCCTAAGAGAAACATGAAGAGATTGGCACTGTTCTTTGTTAACTATTGCTTTGGGGCAGACCCTGCCTTTTTCCTCACCATAGTGGTATATTTTTTTCTGTTTGAAATTCAGTGTGACTGTATTGTTATTATTATTGTTGTTATTATTAACTTTCCTGTCTACAAAATTGTGATTTAATTATGTGTTTAAATTTATCTCTTGTGTTTTGAGGAATACCTTTGAAATCCATTGAAAAATAGAAAAAATTCTGTGAACAGTGAAGTTTGAACAGAAATTTTGCTTCTGGGAGTGTAAAAAAAAAAAAAAAAAAAAAGGGAGGAGAGAACCAAAATATCGTCAGTGTTTTTGTTTGTTTCTGCAGAAGAGTAGCAGCTCTGAGTCCTTGAGTGACAAAGGTTCAGCTGAACTGAAGAAAAGCTTTGATGCAGTGGTATTTGATGTTCTAAAGGTTACACCAGAAGAATATGCGGTAAGCAGTTCAAGTAATTTTTGTTATTTGGTGTGTGAATCTTCTTGTCAACTTTTTCTTTGCTTGTCCGTTTCTGTATGATTTTTGCCTAACTTCCATTGTCCATGAGTTTCAGAAATGGATCCTGCACTATAGTCCTTCATTGTCTATATTCTGACTAATGTTAAGTGATCTTTTGGCTATGCAATCTAGACATTTTTTGCACTCTTACGTGCAACATAGACAAAAGATTCTTACATCTCTATGATGCAGCTTAATTCTGACATACATATTTTAGTTTCAAGAATGTACTTGGTCTGTACTTGTTTTTTCTGGAGGTGTGTTAATTTTTAACTCTGTCAATTCTTTCGTTTAACCAAAACATAGGGGGATCTTTTAAATTTTTTTTTTACTCTACTTGTAGAGCTTAAGATGACAGATGGTCCCTCTAAGTTATTCAGGTATGTTACTAGAAAGATTGCTAACAAGCTATAGCTCTTAACTGCATTTATAATTCAGCTGATAAGATTCATGATGAATTGTCCTGGAGAGATTATCGATATGTGGTAGTATGTATCACAAAATATGCCCATTAAGTTTGTTCTATTTTTAAATAGTTAATAACTATTGCAGTTAATTATTAATGGCTAAATTGATTTTAATAAGCACACTGAAAATTTAAAGCACCTGGATTATGAAGTGGTACTTACACATTAAATTATTCTTGGAGAGTTAATGGGATTTATTCCTGACTGAGGTTCAAGTCATGTGGTTTGGGCCTCTTCCTTGTTCTGTTGTCATGAACAACACATCACCTACTTTTCATGGGAAGATATTTTTGGGGCTGGCTATCCTTTCAGTTTTA